CCACCTAACACATTCACCCACCCCAGGTTTCAGGCGGTCAAGCCACCCAAACTGAAGGCTTTTTTGTGTTTTGGACCTAAACTTCGTTAGGTCCATTCTCGGTGAAGAACACAAACTCATGGTTTTGGGGTTTTGGACCTGAACTTGGGTAGGTCCATCTAGGTCAAGAACACGAACTCATGGTTATTATCGATGTTGTCGCTGTGTCTGATGAGGGCCCCCTGAGGCGAGGCTTGGAATCCTGCCAGCCACCCCAGAGTAACCCAGACCCCTGAGTTTACATTGGGGTTACATGGGGATAATGGAAAAGAAAATGGAAACCACTGTAGTATAATAGGGTTTATATTGGGGTTATATAGGGATAATGGAAGAGAAGATGGAAACAACTATTTAGGGTTTAGCCTTTTAGTAGCCCAGACCCCTGATTGATAAACCCTCTCCCTTAATAGGGGTTATAAGAACAGGGATTCTGATTCTAGGCCCTCCAGAGGAGGGGGTCTATTAATGAGGGGTCTACATTAAACGGTGTAAACGGCCTAAGCCTTGAGCTTAGGGTTTAGGGTTTAGAATGAGAATCAAGGATTGCAAAAGGGCCCTTGAAAGAGTTATGTCAGGGGACAGAGGGCTAGATAAGGATGTATATGGATACTGAGGATCTGGGCTCTCCACAGCTTGGGGTCCCTATCAGAGGGAATGGGGCAACCCCCATCTTTTTTGTATTCCCACATGAGAGTGGAGGCTGAAGCTTTCTGCGCCAGGACTCGCGGTGATAATCCCTCTACTAACATGAACTGCTCCCTCGTTTCTTATAATATACAACAACGGGAATATTCAATTTTAGGGGGGGGTTGGCGGATTTTAATATCAGGGTGGGTAAAGTGTAGGGTTTAGGGTTGAGGGTAACGGCTTCAGGGAATAGGTGCAGATAGTACGATTTGGAGTTACTTGCGCTGGGTGGGTAAGGGGTCTCTGGCCCTGGCGTGGATCAAGGAAAGGTGTGGGGCCTGGGGCTTCGGCAAGGGCAGTGCTAACGACCACGAAATGGCCCTGGCCCCACCCCGTCCCCCCCCCAAAAAAAAGGAAACACACCAGAGGTTGATAGGGCTGTCGTCAGGACGTCACTTGCAAAGCCAATAACATGCAGTTGGACAAATGGTATGTAGGAGTCTAGAAACCATGAGGGTTGTCAGGGATTATCTTGGAAGTTGTTGAGGC